TTGACCCGCTAAGATTTTGACCCGCCCTGCCCTGCCCCATTTAGAATTTTTTTAAAAAATTGCCCTGCCCCGCCCTACCCCGTTAAGCCCTGCCTTGCCCTGCCCCATTTAAGTTTTTGTTTTTTCTATCCTATCCATTTTTCTTTTTCTTTTTTTTTTATCACACTTTGCTGTGTTTTATCCCTTTCTAGATATAAGAAACTAGAATAGATTTGTAGTTAAATCTTCCGTGGCATCCTTTTTTCTTCATTTTACTTATAAAGAGCATAATAAATTAGAAATAAAAACTTAATCCCTGGCAGTTGTTTTGCGACACTGGCCATCTTGTTCTAGATATATACAATTGAGTTGTGATGATTGAAACTCTTGCATTTTGGTTTATTTTCTAAAAATATTAGTCTAAAAAATATAAAGATATATTTAAAAGTGTTTGAATTAATTTTAAAGTAATGAAATATTAACCAAGTCATAACCATACATAACAGTAGTCAGTAGGAAAACTTAAGCGTCCGAATCAAATGGTAATAGCCCATATATGCTATATAGAGGCATCCCGTTAATGGCCCATATTTTGGCCAGCAAACCAAACCCAAACCTGCCCTGCCCCATTAAAGTTTTTCAAAATTTAAGTTTTACCCTACCCTGCCCCGCCCTGCCCTATTTTAAAATTCCCCTACCCTGCTCCGTTTGGAGTTTGCTCTGCCCTGCCCCGCCCTGCCCTACCTCATTTGCCATCCCTATATACTAGTGCAGCATAATATGCTGGAAGTTCATATATATGTGCACCAATTTCCAGTATATTATGTTAGAACTTGCCTTGTACAACAAAATAGTGATTATTTTTCAATGACTTTGTAAACGCTAGCTATTTTTCAAATATCAGTTCGAAAATTGGCTAGCCCGTGCTATTTTGACAACCAAAAAAAAAAGACTCGTTTGCACCACTGACAGAAGTAAGAAGGACTCGTTTCTTTCTCAATAGAAAAAGGTAAAGAAATACCCAATCACTTTGACTATGGATTTAACATGGCCTAAACTATTTATAATTTACAAGAATAAACTATAGAAAATAAGAACTAATAAGAGGCTAGAGGATTGAACGTTTAACGATGAAATTCAAAGTCAACTGGAGCGCCAAATGATTTCTTACAATGAGCAATGGCTGCCTGAACAGAATTATCCCTCAAATAAAACCTTCTAACTTCATCATCATAACCATTGTTGTTGCTATGCATAGGTGACGACTTAATAGAATTAGGGCAGCTTTTACTTTTACTATTCTTATGGGCAAATGATGTCCTTGTTCTTGCACTTGTGTAATAACGACTCGTCCTGACGAGTGAATCTAATACTCCTCTCATTGCCTTAAGGTTTATTATGCCCGCGACAGATGTTGTTGATTTGTCGCGGGTTAGATCTTGATAATTAAGATCTGAATGATTGCGAGTTTTCAGTTTCATAGTGTCATTTGTTGGATTTTCGTTGCATGTGCTGCTGCCTCGCTGTAGTAAAGGTTGTCTGGCCGGCATTTGTTCCCTTTTGGCTTTGGGTGTCACCATTGAAAATAGCATTGATGGAATATTTCTGTATTTGAATTTTATAATAAAGTTCATAATTCCATTTGGCTTTGAAGTGACCATCGTACGATCTTTCCTGCAGAATATAACATCAAGTTAATTAATCCATTAGTGACAAGAACTTTTAGCTCCTGTTTGGCCATAAAATTTGGGAGCTTTTTAAATAAAAAAAATTTGTTTTCAAATATTTGTTTGTTTATAAATTTTAATTAATTTTGGTTAAGTTTGAAAACAAATCTTCAAATCCCAAAACAGCTCTAGAGTAGTTTTTGAAGTTTTCTACTCAAAAAACTTCAAATTCTTTTCAAGTAAAATACATGTCCAAACACAATTTTAACTCTCAAAAACCATTTTTCATCTCATCTTCAAAAATATATTTTTTCAAATTTCAACCAAATCTATGTCCAAATGCTAGCTTAGTGTATATTAATAGGTTTAGCAAGTTATTTTTTTTCTCTCTTCTAATCAAGGTTACCAGAATATTAGTTGATTTTAAATATATAAGTTAATTACACTGACAATAATATTAATTTACATGCAATTAATTACCATATAATTAAGTTATCTAATTAGGTAAATATACATTTTTCACAAGCATTATAGTACTTAAAACTCTTTAAGCATTTTCACAAGCATATATAGTAAAACTCTTTAAGGCAGACCATTGACCAGGATACGCGATACGCCCACTTGCCAAAAACAAAGGGAAAAAGTCTTCTTTTTTTTTTTGTTTCTTCTACTAAACCATAGACTTTAAATTAAATAAATAAAGAAGTTTGAATAGGTATTAAAGAAGCAGCATAATTTTGACAAGGTCAAAAAGATTCACCTGTTGCTTAACATCTCCGTGCAATTCGATTCATGGTCAAAATTAGCTTTTTCTACCCTCAGTGAATTCAAGTTCTTGACCGAGGATGCCATGAACGCGTTCACAATGCGAGTCAAGGATACAAAAAGGCCTAACCTCGCCTTATTAGTTGTTCCCTGTGCATGTTGTGTTGTACTACATGACGTTTCAGCAGCTGATAATGAACATGTTGTTGTCACAGTTGAGGAAATTCCAGCTGAAAAAGATATGCGTAACTCCACCTCTGGAGTTTCCTTCTCCTCTTTATCAACTACTGTTGTTTTTGTTGGCAGAGGATTAAGGTTTATTTCAATGTACGCGCCGTCGCCGTCGCCGTCGTCTGAATCATACATAACATAATTACTAGCATCATAACCTTGACTGATATCATCATCAGAAGAGAAGAGGCCATGAGATGAGTTGAAGTCAAAAGAACTAAAAGAAAAACTCTTTCTTTGGTCCAGTTCTGTGCTTTTGATCATGATAACTGATGCCCAAATAGCAATATACTCTCTTTTAAATTACTATCAAGATCGACGTTGTCTTGCATGTAGACAAATTAGTTGTATGAGGACGAATCAGAATATTTGGATGGTACCAAAAAAGATATAGGTTGATGAAGAGTCATGAGTTGCGAGCATGTGGTAAAGTGTCACCGACAGATCTCTTAATTAATTAGGTGTAAAATGGAATATGAAGTATCCTTACTACTTATACTTCTCTGATTTCCCAAGATGTTCAGAAAGAGAGTCTTGGCGCAATGGTAAAATTGTATGTGTGATCTATAGGTTATAAGTTCGAACCGTGAAAGCAACTATTAATGATTGCATTAGGATAAACTGTCTATATATCACACCCCTTACAATACCAATTTCAACTAAACCCAATATTTTCGATACAGTATAAAATTATGTGTAAAAATTTATTAAAATTATCGCAAATAATAGGTTTGAACTCATCATAATTTTAAAGATACAATGGGTTCATGGCAAAACACCTTCGGGGTTGAACCCAACAACAACATCCAGTATAATCTCATAAGTGAGGTCAGGACAAAAAACCTTCAAAGTTGAATCCATAGAACTTAAATCCTGCATCCGCCTCTGAATGTAGTCCTTTTCGGACCGTACGTGAATACGAGATACTTTATGCATGCTGTCTTTTTTTTTTAAAATGTCTAGCTATTGTTCTCTGTAATTGGGCTCAAATGGACTCTTCACCGACGACGGGCGGCGCAAGAAAAATATAACGTAACACACATATATGTATTGTTATAGTATTATATCCAGCTGCCAGATATAGTTGCTATATGGAATGGTTAATATGATAAATAAAAGTAGTTTGATCATGTTTTTTTTATCTTTTATTTTACTTGGCGTATGTGTTTGTAATTTTCTAAGTTGAAGGGGTTTTCTAATGTGGACTGATAAAGACTAAAACAGGCATTTGACCATCTAGAACTTCCAATAACAACATTTCTGCCAGGTTAGTTTATTACTATCACTACTAGTTAAACATTACTAATTCATGATTCATTGGAACCTATAGTTGAATGGCCCTGAAAACCAGTGGATTTTTTTGGACTAAAGGAAACAAGAATGTATAATAGTAGCAATCACTCTTCATTTGTTTTTCCACTATAAATTAATCAAATCTCCTCTTTTCCATGCCTAATTTTAGGGGCTAAGCTATAGCAATAGATACAATACGAGTTTGGTCAGAATTAATAAACTTTAAATTTAGTTTCACATTTGCGTGATGGCTATAATATCGGTGGGATATTGGTCCAAGTCATGAAGCAACAACCCTAGATTCATGGGTGAATGACACAGCTACCCACTAAAACAAAACTATTTACCCTTGCCTACCCATTTATTTTTCTACTCATCAAACTAATTACATTTCCTACCCATAATAGTTTTTGTGGGAAATTTTTTCTTTTTTCTTCAATTTTTTTTATTTCTATGCTTCTTCTTTTTTTTTTTCCTTTTTTTCTTTTTTTCTCCTTTTCTTTTTTCTCGTTTTCTTATTTTCTTTTTCCTTTTCTAATTTCATTTAACTTATTTTTTTTATATTCTTTTCTCTTCATAATCTAATTTCATTTACTATTTTCACTATTTTTTATTATTCTTTTTTATATAATAAGAAAAAATAACTGATATAATAAATATTTGTTCACTTTTTTAAATATAACTAGTATAATATACCTTTTGTCTTTTTTTTTTTCATTTTTAAAATTCAGTTATTAAATTGAAATAATATCAGTTGTCACTTGATCTAATTCACTGAATATCACATTGATTGCTGCTGAGCACCATAAATTACATAATCAGCTTTTAAGAATCAACACGTGATTGTCATGCAAATCTTGATCTCCTTCCCTATAAATATCAGTACATACTCTACCATTAGCAGTAATACAACCAGTTATGGAGCAAGAAAATATAATCTACGACCACCAAATCTTCATATACACTAGTTAGAATAGAAATGATAACAAAACATTGGAAAATGCAATAAAAGTACAAGTAGCAAAAAAGACTTCTAGAACCATATGATACCAATATGGTATACATGTATACCAACAGAGTATATGATTGCTCTAGAATATTGCTACAACTATCTGCGACTATACTAATGTACCAAAATATTAAGGATGCAATAAAAGTATGAGAAATTATATATCGCAACTAAATATTCGCAAAGCAACTTGCTCATTCCGTATGTTAATAGGGTATATAGTTGTATGGGGTCGTTCCAATAATTATCTATAATTATAAAAACTATTACATAATACACATAATCTATGTTCGTCGGCACAAAAAATTTCAGTACTGCAAATCATGTTCATATAAATAATTTCAGAATAGTAATCACTTAAAAATACAGCTAAAACAACCAAAAAAATGTTCAAACTACCATATGATACCAATATGGTATATAACTATACCAACATGGTATACAACTTTACTGGTTAATTTCCGGCAATTGTATGACTATACTACTATTATATAACACACATGCATAAAGAGAAAAATAAAAAAAATAGTGTACCATATATTAATATAATAAAGTATTTCAAGATATTGTACTATATTACTATTATTAAAAGAAAATTAAATAGTGTACCAATTAAATGCAGCTAATACAACCAAAAAATGACTCAACTAGTATATGATACCATATAGTATATAACTATACTAATAGGGTATATAGTTGTACGGGGTCGTTCCAACAACTGCATATAACTATAAAAACTATTACATAATATGCAAAATCTATGTCCATAGATACAAGAAAATCCAACAACGCAAAATATGATCATATAAATCATTTCAGAATAGAATTCACTTAAAAATGCAGCTAAAACAACCAAAGAATACCCCAACTACCATATGATACCAATATGACATATAATTATACCAATAGGGTATACAGTTCTACTAATTAATTCTAGAAAACTATATATGGCTATACTACTATTACATAATACACATGCATAAAAAGAAAAATAAAAAAATAATGTACCACATATTAATATAAGAATATATTTCAAGATATTGTATTATAATACTATTATATAAAACAAACACATAAAGAAAAAATCAAAATGATTACATAATACACATGTATAAAAGAAAATTAAAAAAAATTCAAGATATTGTACTATTCTACTGTTACTAAAGAAAAATCAAATAGTGCAACAATTAAATATAACTAATACAACCAAAAAATGTTCCAACTAACATATGATACCAACATAGTATATAGCTATACCGACATGGTATACAATTGTACGCAAAGAGTTTAATTTTTTTTT